AAATGAGGTCATGAAGCTGCAGCCTGATTGACAGGCTAAACTCCACCCCTTCACTCTTAAATCACAAATTGACAACAGATTATGTAACTACCACAATTTGATTAGCCTTGCAGAGGCCCTCTTTTTATTCCAGTATTTGAAAACTACACTGAATTCACTGACATCTGTGCTTTGGTCTATGTATGAAACAGTTTTACCATAACTGATCCAGGTACTGGTACCAATGGGATAGATAGGCTTTGTTCATTAGGACGAATCAGTGGCAGAAGACAGCCAAACCCAAACCCAAACATTTTAGTTCTTTGGTATTTTGTCAGTGCTCTCCCCTCCCAGTCATTATGATTGGCTTCCTTAAGTCACACAGCATTTTATAGAGAGTAGCTGTTAGCTTGGGAAAGAAAATTTCCTTTTGCTTGCTCATACATGTCATTTATTATTGTAGAGCATTCTTACGGGCTAATACTAAACAATTTCAAAATACATGTTGCAGAGTCAGATACCAGTGTTGAATATTATAGGGTAAAGAGTGACCTGGGACACATAAGACACTTGGTAAATACTGTATGGCATGTCAGCCCTGTAGGAGGCAAGGGAAGAATGTAGTGAAAATACCTATTTTCTATCGTATTAGCTGTTTAGTTTAATGATTGAGTTGGTAGGTTGTTGGCTAAATTTGATACTAACAAAACCTTTCAAAGTAGATGTTTGAATGTATTATAGAATGCTTTCATAGTTGTTATGGATATAAGTTATACTGTAGTACACCAACACTCCAGCTCTGAACTTAGACTTCCTGGGTTGTCAAAGATGCTACCCTACCCTGATGCTTGTGTTACCTTTGGTTGAGGCACTTGAATCTCTCGTACCTATTAAGAAAAATAGTGCTAGCACCTTGGAGGAGTCAATGAGATATCATCTATGCAAAACACTTATCATGATTCCTGGTGGAGTAAGCTGATGTAATAGTATTACAATTGCATTGTATTACATGTTAAGCATCTTTTGTTTTGATGATTCTAAGTATATGATGTGAGTCTAGTACAAGAGGGCTTTAAAAAGTTCATGGGAGCATGCAATGAAAAGATAATGAAAATTTTCCACAGACTTTTTGAAGCCCCCTCATACCTTTCCAAACAGTTAAGGTCTTGACTGTAAGTACTGGACACATATCTTTGTTTGTGTTAAACCTTGAAACTAATCATGAGGAGCCCCAGTATTGGTAAGGAAGGACTGGGGAGCTGATTTTCTGTTTTGGATTCATTCTTTGTCAATGGATTTATTAAGCATCTATTTATAAGGTGAAGGTTTAGCAGTAGTTATGTAACAAGTAGCTAGTGCACAGGCGTCTGGCCTTCTTGTTACTGTTATCAGTTGGGGTGGGAGAGGTGAGGAGGATGGTAACATCTTTTTGGTTCTGTTTGGTCCACCAACTTCATTCCCTCACACTGTTGTTGTTGTCTGCATAGGACAGAGTTGAACTGCCCCTTCGCACCTTGTAGACACAGTCGCAAACTGGGCAGGTTACCAGGTCTTTTCCCCCTGGAGTGGTTGGTGGGCTCTAGCAACAGACCTACTGGTTAGCTGCTAAGTGCTGAACCTTCGTGCCACGAGGCCAGCCTTCTTTCATAGTCAAGGATTTAAAATTTTTTGGCAGCGTTAGTGCCAACACATTGACCCCAGCCACTGCATAAGTCCCATCTCTATTTACCTCCTCACATAAGAACTATCTACTACTTTTTTAGGTTGTTTAAACAAGAGAAAAAGACTGTATGGGAGCGCTTTCTCTCCCCAGCTTTTGATGTCTTTCGCCTTGTAAAATTCACAGGAAAGTTGTTTCAGGTAGTAAGTTTTTCTCTCTCTCTCTCTCTTTTTCCTTTCTTGTCTTAAAAACATGGGAAATGGTTATTAGATTTCTAAGTTGTTTTTATTAATTGGTCATAAAATAAGTTTATTAGTAGTAAATTCATAATAAAATAGTTTATTAGAATTTAGAATATTAAGAAGGTTACCAGAAAGTTGTACATTTAAGTTAAGAACAAGAACCACAACTGTCTTTTGTATACAAAGACGACGATGCTAACAAGCCTGTCCCGGCTAGTGAATTGTTTAGTTTTGCTAGTTGTTTTTCCAGGAGTGGGATTTATTTAATTCTTCCACTTGCATCATAAACATGTATATGTCACTTTTCATTGCGAATTAGGTGAAGGTTAACCGAGCAGATCACAAATTTTATACTCAACAACTTATCAAACTTCCCAGTGACTTGCCCTTTGCCATCATGTTTTGCCCATGTTCCTCTTGTTGAGTGCTGGCTTCCCCTTCACCCGAGGTAACATCCGTCTAGTCGCTAGCTGATGGCTTTCCCATCTCTCCCTTCCCCCTCCACCCTGGGAACCACCAGTCTGTTTCTTTTAGTGTGAAACCTCTTCTTGATTTTTTTATAACAATGGTCTTATAAGATATTTGTCTTTTTGTAATTAATTTCATGCAGCATAAACGTCCTCCAAGGTCATACACATGAGACAGTTCACAGATTCATCATTATTCTTTAATGGTTGTACACTTTTGCTGCCTTGTCAGCAATGTGTGAGGGTTCCAATCTCCGAATCCTCTCCAATATCGAGGTTATCATACTGCAAGGAAGCCCAAGACACATGAAGAAGCCAGGTGTGACCCCATGCATGGATCATGACTTCTTTCCAGGGTGGTAAAGTGAGCCCTGGATGAGTTCTGAGTGTGGATCCTTGTCATTCTTCTGAGTGATCCTTTCCCTGGGCTGTCAGGTCACTGTGAGCCAGAACTGTCTGATGACATTGCGTGAGTTCCGTACCTTTGGAAAGCTCCTCACGTGCAGGAGGTGAAATTCCTGCCGCCGGGCTGAAGAGGGAAGGCTTCACAGAGGAAGTTCGATTTTCTGACCACTGAAGCATTTGAGAGGACTGTACCCATGTGAGGAGTCCTGTTGGCATCGTGGCAGCATGTTGGGCTACCAACGTGGGTTAATAACATGTTGGGTTGGCAACTTGTTAACTGCAGGGTCAGTGGGTCAAAACCACCAGCAGCTCCACAGGAGGACAAGTCTACCCTCATAACGAGGTACACTTTGATAAACCCACAGAGCAGTTCTACCCTGCGCCATAGCGTCTCTACGAGTCAGAATCGGCTCGATGGCAGGGAGTTTGATTTGCGTTTGGTGCCTATGTGCTTATTTTTTGGTGGTTTTTTTTGCTTTTCATGGCTCTCCTTTGTTTTACTTGTCTCGTGTCATCTTGCTGACTGTAGACCCACTAGCTCTCAGATCTTCTGTCTACTCTGGATGGTCGGGCACTGATTTCTGCAGGTCGTGCTTCTTTGGATCAGGCCTACTGGCTTCTGCTTGATTCAGCCAGTGCAGTGGTTCTCGACTGACCAGAAGAGCTTCTACACTCCCCATGTTGCACAATTACATCACACTTTGAAGTTGGACTTTGGCATTCATACTTTTTAAAGCTTTGCAGTGTGTGAAACGGTTTTCTCTCTACTACTCTGCTCTGCAAAGTCCAGCGGCCTTGGTCTCCCTAGACATTCAGCTCGCTTCCCGTCCTTCCCGGTGGCCAGACCTCTCCCGAGTTTAAGTGGGACTTCTCCCTGGGGAAGGTGGGCCCTCTCTGTGGAGTTCCCTAGGACACTTCTTTGTTTCCAGCCTCAGCAAGCACTGTCTTTGTTGCTTAATGTCCAGTGTCGGGAGAGCTAATTCATATATTTTGATATTTTAGTTTTTAGTTATTTCAGGAAGGTGGGTAAGTTCAGCTCTGATTATTCCATTTTGATAAGAAGCAGACTCATGTCACATTCAAATCTTAAATGAATGTAGATCTCTTAGCTTATTCTTTCAAGACAGATTGAGTTCCTGATAATGTCATCTCTAAATGACACTATTTTTTAGGACACAAGCCCAGGATTTAATCAAAGCAGAACCAGATGATTTCTGGATCTCATCTAGCTATAAAAGCTGTTGCAACAACAGCATTTTATTATATTTAAAGTACTACCTCAATCATATGTTTTAATTCTGTGGCCAGTGGTCAGTTGCTGTGTAATAAAATAATGGCCTTTTTTCTTCACGTTTTCTCCATCCTCTCTCCCCCACTTCCTGCAGGTGGCTAAGAGATAATTAAATTGGTAATGATAGCATTGTTTATTGTCACTTCACTCTTGGAAATAAATATTATATTAAAAGAGCTAAAATTATCGTATCTTTTGAATTATTGGCCCCACTTGGAGAATTCCAACCAATACAAACAACACAGGTCTTCAAATCGACCCAGTGGGTGAAAATGCAAATTCTTATCAATGAGTTGAACTGGCTTGAAGACATGAAATAATCTAAGTTTTGAAAGAATCTTTTATCTCTAAAAAATGCTCATGATGGTGTTAATGGGAGAGAAAAAAATCTTAATGTTAAAAAATAGGTGTCTAGGTAGAGGAAAAGCCTTAGTTGGTAAATTGAGTGGTAGAGTAAGTGGATAGATGAACCAATCTATGTTAACTCGATCCATGTTGGTTAAGGCACATTGGTTAGGTGTTGGGCTGCTAACCAAGGTTGGTGATTGGACCCCCCTCCCCCAGCTGTTCCGTGGGAGGAAGATATGGCAGCCTGCTTGCACACAAACTGCAGCCTGGGAAGCCCTGTGGGGCCATTTTACCCTGCCCTCCAGAGTGGCTTTGGGTTGGACTGGGTTTGATGGACATGGGTGGTGGGTACACTACCTGCTCTCAAGTCAATACTGACTCATAGCAACCCTGCAAGTCAGTGTAGACTGTATAGCAACCCTATAGTCCGAGAGTGTAACTGTTTACAGGGGTACAACGTCGCATCTTCTTACCACAGGGTAGCTGGTGGTTTGGAAATGCTTACCTTGTGGTTAGCAGCCCAACATGTAGTTGTAAGTAAACAATGAAATTCCAAAAGGAGGGACTGAAGAGTGCTGACCAGACAAACCTGCTCTCTCCCCATCCAGGAGTGACCCACGCGGCCATCTGGGCGGCTTGCATTTCTTACCTGAGTGCAGCAGTGCCCCCTGAGCTGAGGACATCTGCCCAGGGCATCCTGCAGGGCCTGCACCTGGGTTTGGGGCGAGGCTGTGGTGCCATGATCGGAGGCGTGTTAGTCAATTATTTTGGTAAGAATGGCTTTTTCTATTTTTCCATTTTCCTTTGATCGACATTTGTGATATTTCAGTAACACTGACATTATCCCTGGACATTGCCTAAAACAGAACCCCAGTCTTCTTCATAATCTCTTTCTGGATTGCATGTTGGTCATATGGTCAGGGAGTGTGCTTATTAGGTTGAAGGTTGAGTAGAGCCAGCCTGTAACCGGGCATGCTCCTCTGGCAAGCTGCTCAGTTGGTCCCAGTGCTTTGGGTTTGAACTCAGGTGGCTTAGTCAGCTGATAGTAATTTTAGGGAAAAGAAAAATCCCTCATTGTTGTTTTATCAGGAGACTGTGAACCACAAACATATCCAAGGATATGAGGGGGCATCCCCCCAAAAAAGCTGGATTCCCCCGCCCCCCCCCCCCTATGTATTTAATTTTGTTTACAAAGCGACCTTATCACCTTCAAAGTACTCTGCATTACACTTAATACATTAGTCAAATCTGCAATTCCATTGTTGGAAATAGTTTTCAAACTCATCTGTTTGGATGGCTGACAGCACCTTCCTCATTTTTTTTATCACCTCGTCTACGTCATCAAATATCTGTCCTTTCATGGCCCTCTTCATTCGCAGACACAAAAAGAAGTCACATGGAGTGAGGTCAGGTGAGTACAGTGTGTGGGGCAAGAGAGGCATGCTGTTTTTTGCCCCAAACTGCCACACTGAGATGTCTGCATGAGCAGGTGCATTGTCATGGTGGCAAAACCAGTCCCTCATCTGCCACAAATCAGGCCTTTTTGGTCACACACTGTTACGCAATCTTTTCAGAACCTCTAAATAGAAAGTTTGATTAATAGTCTGACCTGGTAAGTAAGTAAATAAGTAAGAACTCCAAATGCAGTACAAGTCGACATTTTCATCCATTCAGGACATTGACGGACATCCAGAAGGTTTGTCATCAATCAACATTTCACCTTTGAAATGAGAAAACCATTTGTACACTTGAGTTTTTCCCATAGTACTGTCCTTGTAAGCTGTGTTAAACATCAGAACAGTTTCTGCGGTCTTCTCCCCCCCCACCCCCAAGTAGGACACAAAATGTCATGGCTGCATGCTGGTCTATTAAATCAGCCATCACAAAAACAAGATTTGAGCACAACTGCTTTTACACAAAAATTCACTGTGACCAGAGAGAACCTTCCTAGGAGGTGCCACTGGGTGCACCAACTCAGAGCAAGTTGTTCGATACCTTGTGGGAAAAAGGAGTACTACCAAAGCTCTGCTCTGCCCAGAGCAATTCCAGTTTTTGGGGGGAGCACCCTCTCATGTGCTGGGTTTGGTAATGTCATTACATCTGTGACAGCACAATCTGTCTGCCTTGTCAGAGATCTGTCAGAGGAAATATCAGGGCTAGGGTAGAAATGAAGACGATTTTGCTCCAGGGATCTTGAATGTTGCTACATCAATGTAAGGTGGGCCCAGAAATGTTTCTATTGATCGCATAATTTGTACTCTACTGTTCCCACCACAGAGCAATAGAGCCATTTGGCAATGGTTGGGTAGTTGGTTTTTAGGAAGAGGGGATCACCAGTGGATTTTTGGCAAAAGGCATTCAGACAACTCTTTATAAATACAAATCGATAGTTGACCTGCAGCCAATCCAATAGTAGCCCTAGGCTCTCCAGACATATTGTAAGCCATGTGTTTTCTCAACCTATCAAGCAAATGGCCAGCCACTGTTGTTTGGTTCATCCCGATCTTTGTCCTGGTTCGCCTGCACTTGAGAACAGCGACAGCTTCGGATGGGGTTCTTGGTATCCCTGAGATGACTTCACAGAGTGCTCTGCTTGTTTTCCCAGGGGCTGCTGCCACCTTCCGCGGCATTGGCATGGCCTGCCTGGTGATCCTCTTGCTCTTTGCCCTGATTCAGTGGCTGGCAGTGCCAGATGAGGAAGAAGGTAAACATCACCGTTCTGGATGGTTCTGAAGTTTCAAACATGGGAATTCTGCACATACACAGCCCCATCATCAGGGGTGGGGAACCTTTTCTTCTGCCAATGGCCATTTGGATATTTATAACATCATTCGAGAGCCACACTAGTCAAACATTTCATTAACTCACCCCTAATGTGATGGCTAGGAGTCCTGGTGGAATTGTGGTTATGAGTTGAGCTGCTAACTTTAAGGTCAGCTGTTCAAAACCACCAGCTCTTTGGTGGGAGAAAGATGGGGCTTTCTGTTCCCATAAAGAGTTACAGTCTTGGAACCTCACAGCGGCAGTTTTACCCCATCCTACAGGGCTGCTGTGGGTGTCATTGACTTGATGGTTGTATTAGTCTAGGTACTTTGGAGAAACAAATCCACAGCCACTCATGTATAAGAGCGAGTTTTATGTAAAGAAAATGTGCATCACGAAAACATCCCAACCCAATGCTGCCCAAGACCACAAGTCCAACATTAACCCATTAACCCAACACCAGTCCACAAAGTCCTTCACCTCAGAAAACAGAGGCAATGATGCCGACTGCAGGAGGAAAGCTGAGTCAGTGAACGAACAAGCATCTCAGCACTAGCAAGGGTCTCCACACGGCTGCTCCAGCACCCAGGGCTGCATCGGGATAGGTCCATGTAGCTTCTCCTTGGGGATGTCTTGTAGGAAGTCAATCTTGCAAGCTGAAGCAGGGAACTGCTAAAGCAGCTGCACCCGGTGCAACCATCACAAAACAAGAGACCCGAGAACTAGAAAGGCAAGGCTTCACCACCCATTTATCCCTCCGCCTTTCAACCAGCCCCACGTGATTATCGGCCAGGCTGGCACAATTAACTAACTCAATGGTAATGAGTTTTTGCTTTTCTTTTTGGAATGCGATGGCTGGAACTGCTTTTCTTTGGTGAGGTGTGTGATCAGCTGGTATTGATGATTTCATGAATCTTTTGTGGCCCAAGGGTTGGGCCATAAGTTATAACAGACCGTGCAGCGGGGTATTTGTTCAGGTTTTCTAGAGATAGACTTGTGTACAATTGTTTGAGATAAACCACCCACTATTTTGAGAAGAATATTGATTGTTTTAAGTAGCTTGAGATTTTCTAACTTTCATTTTCTGGAACAAGGTACTTGGGAATAATTTGTTTTAAATTTCCCTGGTATTCTAAAGGGATTTCAGATTTAAATCATCTACCTACAAGGTTGCAGTAAACAGTGCAGGGGGCTTCCCTAGTGTCAGGAGGCAGGGCTCAGACATGCACTCCCCTCTATTGTTTAGCTGCTCTATACCAGCCCTCCTCCTACGGCACTTTATTGCTATGCTGCGCTTGCTAATGCCTTGCAGGGGCCACACAGAATCACAGATAATATTCCTAGTTCAGGAGGGTTTTTAGGAGCCCTGGTGGTGTAGTGGTTACTCATTGGGCTGCTAATCACAAGGTCAGCAGTTCAAAACCACCAGCAGCTCTGTGGGAGAACTACAAAGCCTCCTACTCCCATAACGAGTTACAGACTCAGATGCCCACAGGGTGTCCTACAGGGTCACTGTAAGTTGGCATCACCTAATGGCAGTAAGTTTTTATTAGGGAAGTGAATACATTCCCAGGAGTCAGGACAAGCAAACAACAGCACCACTAAGGACACAGGTGTTAGTCCGCAGCAACACCTCTTCTCAGCCGTAGCCGAGCCTCTCTCGGGCCCGGCAGTCTCACAATCACATGGTCCATTGACCTTTGTGTCATGGGCAGAAGCCAGCTCGGTGCTCTGTCTCTCAGTCGCATAGCCGTGGCACTGCTCCTGTTGCTCCATCCTGCAGTCTCCAGGCCACACACAGTCTTTGGTGCCTCTGGTCTCATAGCCTCAGCCTCCCCACTTGAGACAGAGGTCTGGGCCGCGCTCTTCCAGGGCCCTGGGTTTTCTCTCTGTGTTCGAGATGGCAGTTGTACGTTGGGGAATGGCTTTGATGGAGGTGTGGTTTTGACCCTGCCCAGTCCTGTGCCATCCTCATGATTGCTGCTGTACTTGAGCCCTCTTTTGCAGCGATTGGGTGGAGGCGTCCCACTGAGGGCTTCTCTCCTGCTGGCTGACCTTCTACCAAGCATGATATCCTTTTTCAGCAGCTTCTAGGGGGTACACTGAAGCCCTATAACTCCAGCTGAACTCACTGCCATGGAGTCCGGTTTGACTACTAGAGACCCCTGGGAGAGAGTAGAACTGCCCCATGGGCTTCTGGGAGACTGCCTCGTTGTGGGAGTAGAAAACCTCTTTTTTCCCCCCCTGAAATCCTATAAGAAGAACTTGAAAAATGACATCCTGTGTGTTATATTGATGACTTACACCAAATAACAAAGTTTCAGGTGCACACACAGTTGTCTCACATACTAAGGGGGCTTACAGGATTGTTGCCCTTTGGGGCTGTGTGGGAAGCTTTGTTTAAATGTGAAGAAAACTCTGAACTCCGGTTTAAACATCATTTTCTCTCCAGACAAGAGCATGTTGGCAGAAAGGATTCCTGTTCCATCTAGTCCGGTTCCCATAGCAACCATCGACTTGGTGCAGCAGCAGACAGAAGATGTCCTGCCACGCATTGAGCCCCGGCTGCCACCCAAGAAAACCAAGCACCAGGAAGAACAGGAAGACGTGAACAAACCAGCCTGGGGAGTCAGCTCCTCCCCCTGGGTGACCTTTGTCTACGTGCTCTACCAAATCAAAGAGATGATGCAACTAACAAGAGACAGTCGTGCTTCTGAGATCCAACCCCTACAGGTAAAACTCCTCTGCTGGCTCCCTTTCACCAAAGACACCCAAAGTGGGCCCAGTTCTTTAAATTGACCAACCATTCTTCCTGCAAGTTGCTTCGAAGGTCTGTAATTTCAGTATTCTGACTAAGTGTGTTACAGAGTGTATACAGGCTCCACAGAGGGACCATCCTGCGTTACAGAATGTAGGAGGGATTCACAGAAGAGACAGTATTTCTTAAAAGAAAACGAATCTGTTCTGCTTTGATATACTTCTTCAAAACTTGAGGATTGGTGCATACCGGGTGGAATGAGCAGATGGTTTTTTGACATGGTGGGCCCACATCTATGCATCTCTGGAACCCCCAAATACTAGTGCTGGGCTGTATTTGAGGGAGCTTCAAGAAGTTTGTGGGAAAGGGAATTGAAAGACAATGGATTTTTTCCTACAAACTTCTTGACGTCTTTTCAAAATGTATATCATGACCTCAGTAAACACCTGAGGAATTAATAAAAATAGAGCCAACCCATGCCAGGCTGCTGTGGGTCTGCCAGCTCAGCCAACTCCACGGGAGCGTGGCTCTGTTGGTCTCTCTGGAGTCAGATCAAATCATGCAGAGAAAACAGCGTGGGCAATGATGTAACTAAAACTCCATCCTGAGTCTGAAAAACGAACCAGTGGCTTCTATGAACATTTTGGCCAAAGTAACGAGTTCCACTTCCCCCTTTTTGTATGAATCACTTCTTGTCCTGTGTTCTTATAAGTTCATGCAACCTCTGTCATCAAGAGTTGCTTCAGGAGACACGTAAGACCAGGTACAACAGGGGAAGACAAAATAGAGGGGCGATTTGGGTCATTTCTTTTTTAGGAAATATGTTGAACCACCTTAAATGTATCATGAGTTTGTAAATTAATGTACAGTCCTTACATCATGTTAGTCAAATCTGATTCTTCAGTGGTAACCATTGTGTGATCTGATTGGCCCATCAAGGGAATACATGCACATAAATCCTCTGTTAAGTTAAGAACTACAATTTCAGGTCAGGCGGAGCATCTGAAGGAGTCTCAAACCTTGAGGCGGGGAGAGGATGGTGCCTGATGCAGGACTAGCAATGTTATCACGACTGGGCACTCAGCCTCATTCTCACAGAAGCCCAGGAAGCTTAAACAGCAGTTGGAAAAGTGCCCCTTCCCACCCACAGGATGTCAAAATTAACCAGAGCTGTTAAGTATTGTGATATAATTATTCTTATGAAGGATATACTAAGACATTTTTACATTTTATTTTAAAAATTTGGAGGGGGAGTTTTGCATAGAGAAAGTTGATTAAGAATCTCCCAGGAGAGAGAAATCACCCCACCAGCCTGTATGTCTGGTTCTCTGGTGCTTCTCCCTCTCGCCCACGTGAAAAACAGGTTTTTAAATATTCACACAGAAGAGGAAATTCCTTTTGGGGTGGCAAGGATTTCTGGGTATTTTTAAATTTTAGAAGCAATCACAAATGATTTCATTCATTCATTCTTTCATTCATGTGCTCAGCTATTTAAAGCATGGGCACTAATCAGAGGACATTTATCTTTTTAAAATGTGATTCCTGGCTTGTGAAAACAAACACAGCATTTTATAGAAACTGTGAAGGTGAGGTTTCGCAGTGAATCTGTTCTGTTACTTACAGCTTGTTACCCCAGTCATTTTGGCATTCCCTAGTTTAACCTGGGCATTGTCTTTATCTCAGACAGTCCAAGTATACTTTTGGTCATTTAACTCCAAGTGGTTCTCAACCTTCCTAATGCCACTATCCTTTAATACAGTTCCTCATGTTGTGGTGACCCCCCCAACCATAAAATTATTTTCGTTGCTCCTTCATAACTGTAATTTTGATACTGTTATGAATCGGGCAACCCCTGTGAAAGCGTCATTCAACCTCGAAAGGGGTCACAACCCACAGGTTGAGAACCACTGCTCTAAGACATGCTTCTCCTGGTTTTATCTCTGCTATCGATAATGCCTACAACTCACTGTTAGGGAGTCTGGGAGTCCTGTGGCCCAAACAGCGAACAGCCGCTCATCCATGGCTGCTGTGCAGCTCCAAAGACTTGGGGGCCTGCTTCCGTGACGATGAGTGGAAACTGGGGCAGTTCCACTCTGTCATGGGGTCCTGGGGGGCTGGAATGGACTCAATGGCTCAACTCAAACAAGGCACCATCCCACTCCTGAATGACGTGCTTCCAGCACGTGGCATGGTGTCCACAGGCTGTGCAAACAGTTCATGCAGCGGCCTGTTAACTAAAAGGTTGGAGGTTCAAGTCCACTCAGAGGTGTCTGACAAAGTCCTAGTGATCTACTTCTGGAAAACCAGCCATTGGCAACTCTGTGGGCACAGTTCTACCTGGACACCCGGGTCACCATGAGTCAGAATGACTCCATGGCAGCTAGTGTTTAGCAAGCAGCCCAGCTTCAGGTCTTCGTGACCAGGGACTTACCCAAGTGGCTAATGGGGACTCGGGGAATATCTGCAGATGTAAATTGCTGGCCCAGCAGTAGCAGGTAGCGTGGTAGAATGTTCCTGTCTCCCGGAGACCTCTACTTACCGTATTTATGTTTTTCATGCGGCTTTGGCAGTTGCACATAGGAAAAGAGATGAAAGGTAAGACATTGTATCATTTTGCCTCTATTGCTTGTTCCCTGAAGAGGACACTTCGGGATGATTCACTGGTGTTTCCCTGTAGCTTAACTTCGCTGCATATATTTGCTGTCACTGACGATGGGGCATCTCCCGTTTGCCTCTCAGGGGACCAGTGAGACTCGGGGACATTCTCCAGCTGGTGGAGCCCAGCCTGTCGCATGTGAGACTCATGTTGACTCATCCAGAAGTCAGCCAGCCCCTACTGCAGCCGCATCTCAGACCCAGACCAGCCCCGCTCACCCCAGTGAGGACCAGCGCTCAGAGGTCAGTCAGGAGCAGCAGGCTGAGTCTGAGGCGGCCGGAGGACACTGAGGGGACCCTGCTCATCTCACGCCCTGCATGGAATGGGCCCTCTGCCAGCACAGAGGGAGAGGTGCCCCAAACCCAGGACACGCCTCCTCTTGAGGATCACAACACCACATATGCTTCTTAATATCTAAGCTCATTAACATGGAAACACACACAGGAGCTACAGTACATGTTGGCAGGAAAAGGTAAATGTTCACAATCCTCTTGGAAGTACAGAACCGCAGAGGAGTTCACTGCAGACGCTCGGCTCTCTCTGTGCGTTAGGCGAAGCGCTGCAGGGTTGAAAGCAGCAGCCACACTGAGCGGGCGGAGGGAAAGTGTGCAGAGGCAACTGCTGATGGGATTTCTCTCTCCTTGCGTAGTCCCATGCTTTGGTTTGGAGGCTCAGCTGAGAAGAAACGCATACATCTATATTTTTGTTTCTCTTGAGAAGCATTTCAAGAATTAGGGCACATATTGAAAACAGAAGCAGGTACAAGTTGGCACGTATGCTTTTGTTTAAAACGTTTTACCAGAAATGTCACATGTCTCTAGCAAATATATTTTTATATGTGTATGGGATATAATGAAAATTGTTCATTCTTTGAATAGCAAAAGCTATTATTGATGACTGCAAATTGAACTTTAAAAGACCCCCCCACCACCACCCTTTTGAAGGGCTTTGTGAAAGATCAGAAATGAGGGACTATTTAAAATAAACCAACTCAGTGTCCTATGGCTTGTTAGGCAAGGGTTTACTAAATATACTGAGACTACTAATAGTCTCATTTTATAGTGAGTTGGGGTCTAATTAGCTGACTGAATAAAACAAAACCAAACAAAACTCACTGAATTCCTAGGGTTCTCTTTAATTAAGCAATGCTATTTATAAGTACCAGTATGAGCTATAAGTGCCTGGGGGAGGTATAGCTACAATTTGTAAACATTATGTAAACGGGTCCATTTTTATTGTGTTGTTTTGGTGAGGGAAAAGGGTGTTTAATGGGAAGGAAGGGAACAGAAGTAAATTTACTTTCCGATACTTAAAGGAGCAAAGCTCAGTGTAGCTCTGCTGTGAAGAATGGGAGGGGACAGTCGAGAGGAGGATACTGCAGAGTTCAGAGAGGGTCATGCATCTGTAAATAGTACAGCTCCTCCTGTCAGAACAAGGACTGGGCGAATCACGGAAAAGCTTGCTGCTAACACAGAAAGTAGAGGTTCACAGGAAACTGGGGAGAAGGGTTATGGAAAGGGACCACTGCTTTCGCCGCAGGTCAGTTAGTTTATAGACTAGCCGCGGGGCAGCATAGGAGTGAGGAAAGGAAAGTACAGCATTGAAAGGAACCTGACGGGCCAGGCTCAGTGGTTCAGTGGGAGCTGCCCTGCCCTGCATCCGGGCAAAGGACATTCTCCGAGCGATATCTAGCCGTACCACAAATAAAATATTGGAGAGAGAATTAAGCAAATAGTTATTTTTGCACTTGAACTGAAACGTACTGTAAATGATCATGACTCATTTTAAGTGACCTTTAAAATCAGATGTATTTATTAAGCTTATGTAATTATAGGAATAAATAAATGGGTAACAGGCTGAACCCCACCTATGAATGTACAGTATGTGAATTTGTGAAACTGACTGTCGGACGTCAAAACCTTACACCGTACCTTGTGTTTACAGTTCTGACTTAGTCCCCTGAAAAGCCTGCTGTTTGGAAATGCACAGTTGACATGTTGAAATGAAAATAAATACAATTTTAAAATGTTTCCCAAGTGATACAGATGTGACTGACTAACATCTGCAACAAAGGCCTTGGAAGGGGGTGTGTGCTCCGGGACCGGTTCCAGAACGCAGTGGTTCCCAGCCTTTGACAGCGCATTTCCTCATGGGCTTGTGGCCGCTGGGACTTTTTGTTCATGTCCTCAAAGTGCCATGTGCCATTTTAAAAAATCATTCATGTGAGTTCGATTTAAATTTGATTTGAGGATTTTATAACTCCTCTGGAGAGCCCTGGAAATGCCCAGGGGTGCCCCAAAGCCCAGGCTGGTCACCACTGCCTTCGTGACTTATTTCATACTGTTTCCCCTATGACCGTGGGCAAACTAGCCCAGAGTGCTGAGCTGGTATGGATCCCCAAAGGCTAGTTTTCTAGTCATTAAACTAGTCCTCCTGTCCTTTAGAATAACAGATGCGTATAAAGCATCTATTATCCAAGCTGTGGAACCTCAGCTCTTTGTTATATGCTGATGAGATTACCATTTGGTTTTTAAACAATATCACTGTCCCCGATTGAAGTAGGATTATAAATCTACAGAACTTAAACCACATGACCAAAGACACAAAGCTGGGGTTCAAACTCAGATCTGCCTGATGACAAGGCCCATGTCTGCTCAGCATCTCCACGCACCGCGGGAGGGGAGAGACCACCTTTGTTGCTGCCTTCAACCACTACCTTGTGCATCTCATACGCCGATGTATGTGGTTGTACCTAGACATCCAGTACTTTGCAAAGACAAGACTGACACGTGGTTAACTGGCGGAGCGGCAGATTACTTACATTTTGGATGTGACTTGGATGGTTTGTGAACCTTGAAGAGACAACCTTGAGGGACACCAAAGACCAGTGCCATGGGAGTCGGCAGGGCAGGCAGGAACCCCCACAGCTCAGTCTCCTGGGGCCAGGAGAGTCCAGTGTGATGCTGTCCAGGAATGGTAACCACTGTTGTTAAGTTGCTACGTGGCCCGCAGCCCATGATGACTTTCGGTGAAACAGGAAGAAACCTGGCTGGGTCCCGTCCCACCTTTGTGACGGTTGCAGCTGGAATCCAGCATTGTGCCCACGGTGCCAACGGGAGTTCCGCTCCTTTTCAGTGGTCTTCTACTTTCCCCAGCATGATACCCTTCTCAGCAGTTGATCTTCCCTGAGAATGTGCGCAGCGGGAGTCGACATCTTGCTGTCCTCCCTTCTGAGAAACATTCTAGTTGTCTCTCTTTCAATCCTTTCGAGACTGAGTTTTCTGTTGAAATCACGTGGTTTTGGTATTGGAAGGCATTTGGGATGAAATGAAAATTTGGGGGAGGTAATATGGACTTTGACACATATATTCAAATGGGTCGCTGGTGCTGGTGGGGTGAGATCCATGTCTTTAGATTCATGCAGCTACACAGATCCCACAAGGTGGGAGCCCGCCTAAAAGTGGGAAAACAGCTCCCCCAAGCCCAAGGCAGATGATGTAAATGGGCACTATATGTCCCATGGGTCATGAAAAGCTACGGATTGATTTGTTTGTTTTTTGGCAGTCCAGTTTATTCAGGACTTTCCACAAACACCACCATTTGAATGCATTTATTATTCCACTGTCTTTTACATAAGGCCCGCCTTAGTCATCACAGCGACATCTTTGCTTTTTAAAACTGAAAAGAACTTTTTCCCCCAACAGATTTGCTCAGTACAACAGCCATTCACTGTAAGCATTTGAAATGTGGCTAGTGTGCTTGAGGAATTAGATTTCTAAATTTATTTAAATTCCAACAGCTCCATATAGCTTGTAGCTACTCCAATGGACAAGTAGCGAGAGAACGAGATGGCCGTTGGCAGATCTCTGGTATCTGTTTCCTCACCTTCAACAAGAGAGGCTGCCTTCCAAATTGTTTTCTATGAAGAGGAGGGCATGCTTGGACCAGCTGAATGTGAGGAATTAAGAGGTGGTTTTTTGACTCAGAAGTGTGCCTGCCCTGTGCTGCACAGGAACAAGGCTCAAGCTACTAACGTGTCAATCCACTCCTGTGCCATTTCATAAAAACTCAAAGAGTACCCCCAAAACAAGGACCGTACAGCTGCTAAGTGGGAGCATTGAAGTTGGACTATAGTTGCCCTCAACTCCAAACTGCAGACAATAAAAACTGGCCAGCGGCCATCTCGGGTATAATTGGTCTCTATCCACCTGTAGTCACTGAGGAGGAAAGAGAACAGTAATTGGAGAAGGAAGTGGTTGGCAGGTGCAATTGCCTCCAGGAACCACCGCCTCCCGGGCCACGAGTCCAGAAGCAATGGATGCTGCGTGGTCAACGTTACTGTGGTCAACGTTACAAGGATGCAGATCTTCATCCAGAGGAGGAGTGTTCCGTATGAGACTTCAGATTCTTATTGGAAACCAGGCTGACTGGAGACATGGAGCTTGACCAATGCCTGAATCTATTCCCTGGAGGCAATATTTATGCCTTGACCTGGAATCAGCCCAGGAGTTGTCTTTAAGCAGTAGTTAATCTTAAAAAAATAAACAATCCGGAGCATATGGCAGATGGGAGCGTGCTTGCGAATGGACCTAAGGAAGGCGTGGAGGAAGCAGGGGGTAGTCTCAGAGGCCTGAGAGTGATTTGTCTTTTGCAAGGGCCACGCTGACTGACGATAAAGCAGCTTCGGGAAAGTTGCTGATGGCTAGGATTGGAGGGAGCTGGTCCAGGTGGATTTCCCCCCACTTAACTCCCATCTGCTTTGGACAGCTAACATGAGATGACTTGCCCCATTTGGACTGCACTTGGGTCCTAGCTTCTAGGTAGCAACTAGAGACCTAACAGAGTTAGGAGGACAGGCTCTGGGCTGGCTGTCGGGGTTGGAGCCTCAGCTGTGCAGTGAAAATTGACATGCAACCCCCTCTGGGCCTCGGGTCCCTCCTCCGTAATACTGAGGTGATTGCAGTGAGATGCCTAACACGGAGCTCACGCCCCACAAATATCCCTATCACTGTGTGGTAAATGGCCCAGAGCACGAGGGTTTGTCTAGTTTTCCCATTCAGACCCTAGCCACTGGTTCTTAGTATTTTGCTGATGTTTAAATCGTTAATCCTATTAAATTCCCCCAAACTACAATGCCATGCTAAATGTTCACCTAGTAAACTGTACAATAAAATGTTCAATCCCAAGATGCATTGTTAACATTAAGTGGTTAAAGATATAACACACAGAATGAAGTAAAACAAATTGCAGAGGATGGGGGAGGGGGGATGACAAGGAACAATGTCAAAGTACACGTGAAGTCTGCACACAGAGCGAGTATAAGGCATTTGTTTGATAATTTCCATTTTTCTTTTTCTCCTAAGAGGTGTTAGTAAACACAAAATGATAACGTCATAATAATTTAATACGTGCTTTGCTCTTTCCTTAATAGCTGAGGTTATTTTTTCAAACCGTATACCAGTATTTTTTTAAAGCCGGGGTTTCATTTCATTCCCTGTAAAGATCACCGGGCATCTCCAGGTCATAATAACCAGTGCTATCCCATCTGTGGTCATGGACTGGTGCTGCCAACAAAGAGTTGTGGTGTGTGACAAAGTAGAAACCAAGAGTTTGAAACATTTAACATTGTTATGATATCCCACTCAGTACATGGACACTGGACTTCTTACATCTTTTAAAAAGAAATTGTTAAATCTGTGTAATTGTGTCCTTCAGTGGATTTTACAAAAGCACTGTTCTGTGATGGGTGGAAAGAGCCGGTCAGTCAGCAGTTTGAGAAGCACTGGCAGGAGCCGCCCACTACACTCGGGCATGGCTGGCATGTGCCCACCATCCGCTGGGGTAGTCATTTCTTGAGTGAATCATTTGGGGGGTTATTTCCTTGGCTAATGTTTTATTAGATGACAATGTGGGAAGTGGATAGAGGTTGGACCCTGGAAGTAGATACATTTGGGTTCAAATTCTGTTTTTACCACTTCAGTGATAAGTTGTTCAAAGACCTTATTTTCTCCACGCCTTGCCTTCACTGTAAATGGAAACCATACTGTTACCAGAATGGACACATGGAGACTGTGTTCATCAGAAGGAGGGAGGGGTGTTGGTAAAAACACACTTAGAAAACAGCATTCATGACGAGGAGGAAGTTGACAGGATTTTTACAAAGGAAGGTATGGTCTTTTCCACAGACTGGGCATCTCGTCCCCTGAGCAAGGCTGTCTCTAGTGGGGGTTGCTTTCAGTGAAGCACTTCACATGGCATTTTTAGCCACACTTGGTCTTGTAACTCCCACACGGTGATTGGTAGAACTATGGCAATAAGGTACTTGTGGCCCACCAAAGGGATTGGATAACCTGCAAGCAATGCAAATCTGGGGCATGGATCCCTGTGAAGGTGGGACACATAAGGCATATGAAACCCTAACAAGCAGATTGCTCAGTTTTGCCATCCCACCAGGATTAAAAAGGGAGCCGACCCCAGAGAAAAAAGTCACCCTGTCATCAAGAAAGATCTGAAAGTCAAGCATGCCCTTTTTTACCCAGGGTCCCTCTGCTGAGAACCTCCTAGACCCAGGAGTAGCCAGAAAGAGCTATGACACCGGAGGTGAAATGTAATGGTAGAAAGCGATGGTGGAGAGGTGGCAGCGGCTGAAACAGGTGACCAGCATGAGATGGCAGTAGGCTACCCAGCCCATGAAGTAAAGCAGTTATAGTGGGTGTATTGACTCATAGAATCAGAGTTGAGTGCCTTGGGACAGGAAGCTTTCTGGCAGATGGGGTGCCTCTGGCACTATCACCTAAGCTTTAGTGCTTTGAACATTGAAGGAGCAGGTCAGGGGCAAGTCTTAGTGGTCAAGGGGACCAAGGTCCAAAAGAGAGGCCTGCCTGCAGGCATTCCTGACCAAAGAGCTATATCTTACATTGTTTTTTTATCCTAATTTTCAACCTGTTACTTCCCTAATTGACACCCCTCCCTCCAAATGAAAAGCCCACTGAAATAAAATCAATTCCAACTCCTAAAGACCCTAGAGGTCTAAGTAGAACTGCATACTATGGTTTCCAAGGACGTAATTCTTTACGGAAGCAGACTGCCACACATTTCTTCTGTGGAGCGCTAGGTGGGTTTGAACCATCAATCTTTTGGTTAGCAGACTACCTCTGAACCACTGTGCCACTAAACAAAACTCACTGCTATCAAAGTCAGTTCTGACTCATAGCAACCCTGTAGGGTAGAGTAGAACTGCCCCTGTGAGTTTCCGAGACTGTAACTCTTTAATGGATTAGAAAGCCCCATCTTTCCCCCACCAGGGCTCCTTGTGAGCCTTGTCTACGACTCATGAACACAGCACAGCATAGGAGTGGTGTGTGCTGCGGCAGAGATGTCTGGTGTCAGAACTGTGGAAAGGTTGGAGGGTGGAGGGATGTCTAACTTGCATCTCATAGGGATCAGCCTGGGGCTGACATTGACCTTGATTCACCCACCCTTTGAAGTTAGAGAACTCTATGGCACTGTGCCATTTTTACAGGACTGAAAGCATTGGACTCTCTGGCCTGGTGACATTGCAAACATGAATTATATAACAAGCTCCCTTTGTTCTGTTTCTGTTCACCAAGCAATCCTCTTTTTATAGGCTGACCCATTAGTAGATCCGTCTTCCAAGACAGAATCTGCTGGCCATTCCAATTCAAATTGTTGTATGCTTCAAGCCGTTATATCTTTTTTGCTGTGAATTATTAAACAGACCCTGTGAGTTGGCTTATGTGAGATAGGTCTTCTTACAGTGCAATGACCACGACCAGGGCTCCGAATCAACAAGGCCAGATGTCGTAGCCTGTCTGCTTAAAATGTCACACCACCCTGGGGGCCACTGGCTCCCTAGGTCACCTAGCCATTCTTGTCTGTCTGCTGGAGGGGTTGTCACAATTGAATACCTATTGTGCTATTCCACACGAGCTCCTTCTTTTATTGGACAAACACCAGAAAAGCTGATTTAAAAATCACACATCTTTAAAAGAAACAGGATCTTATCTTGTTCTGTATGTGACTCCATTTCAGAGCTCATGTCCTCCACATGCTTAGAGACCTCGATGTGCCCCTACACTCATTCCAGATTTCTCTATCTCCAATTGCTCTTAAATGACTGGCTTTAAAAAGAGAAGTGGTAAATTCAAGTATCGTTCTAAAAGTCAGCTGGCACTGCCCACTCATGCAGCCCTAAGAATGCCTGGAAAACCATATGACTGATTCACGAAGCACATGTTTGGGACCTCTAAAATGTGTTCTTAAACGTTTTAAAGAATAACATTTGAGTGATACGACTTACAGCGGCCACCTACGTGTGTGTGTCTCAAATGGTCCAACTCTAACAACAGGAAGCTTTTGAGAGGCACGTAGTGTGAGCACATCACTAAAAAGGGTCTGTCATGTTTGATAAGTGCACACCTATTCGGGTGCAAAGCACCGAGCCAGCTTTCAGCCACCTGTGGGGGCAGAGCAGTGTCACTGAAAGGTCACTGAAGCAGCTTAAATGCTTTCAAAAGATGGAATGGAAGGAGGAAAAGAGAAGAGAGGAAAGAGAGGGAGAAAAGGAGAGAAAAAAAAAGGTCTCTTACAAGATTTATTTCTACACTGTTTGCTGAAGATTAGAATTGTTGCTAGTGCCATCATTAATCCCAGACCAAATGAAGGCAATATAATGAGTCCAAGTCATGCTTTTCATTGGTTAGCTTCTCACAAAACAGAAACTGAAATACCCAGGATGTCCCCTAAAATAACATGAAGATAAAGATCCTGGAAGATCATTGCTCCTTTTTATTCTTTAGATGTTTTTAGGGTGGTTGCCAGCGTCCCTGGGTAGTGCAGATGGATAAGACATTCAGCTTCTAGCTAAAAGGTCTGAAGTTTAAGTCCACCAAAGTCATGTCAAAAGGCAGGGTCTGGTGATTTACTTCAGAGTGACGAGCCACTGGAAAGGGCAGAGAGCAGTTTTAGTCACACACACACACACACACACACACACACACACACACGAGACACCTGGCCTGAGGGTCTCTGCTGCACGGCTTCCTTCCACGGCCGCTTCCCTTTGCCACAGGTGAGGCCCGGAACTGTCTTGGCTGGGTCATCCCTTGGGAGCCCCAGCAAACGGTTCTCATGGTCTTCACACCCACACTGTGTACTAGACAAAGTGTCTCTTGGGAGGTGAATAGGGTGAGCACAAACACTGATACACTGGTACATTCATATAATGGATAAATAGAATTATAAAAATAATAAAAATCCATAAACTAAAGCGAAATGTTCAAGTTTTACTTTTTACGCAGATAGGACAGTCATCATCATGATCGCAGATAGAAGTCTGAATGGAAGGCATGTTGGTATTTTAATCCAGATCTTTGTAAAGGTACAGACTTCAACAGCATGTACTTTCATGGATGGGCAGTGGGAAGGAGGGAACGAAGCGCCTACTGTTCAGGCTCCTGGCAAAGAGACCTATTCAACCCTGGCATTCTGCTTCACGGAGGACTGCTTACTTGAAGAATCAATCATATGAAAGTTCCAAATGTTGGTAGTTATGTGCTAGCTCAACCTTTTATAAAAACGCTGCTAAATTTGGATCAGGGAAGCCACAGTGCCGTGAACCCTTGGTATCCCATTCCCCCTTGTCCCCTCTTCTAGAAAAGGAATTCTTTGAGAACGCCCCTTCCTTTTCATCCCACCACAGTAATATACACCTGTGTTTGATTCGGAAAGGGAATCAGTGTGGCACCTCTAAAGACTGTTTGGGCATGCTCTTCTTTCTCAGGCCTGTGTTTTGGGCTCCTTCCTCCATGGTCAAACCAAACATTTGTCCCTCCTTTCATTCAGGAGCTTCACATCATGAAGTAAGGAAAGATTTGTTCTCTGTGAGGAAGACCATAGACCTATTCTGTAGGAAATTGCTACCAACACAGTTAAACGTGTCATTTTTTAAATGGACTAGTCAATTCAAAATGTCACACGAGGCTCGTTGTCTGCAATGTTATCCTATATAAAAGACAGAAAGTAATTCTATTTTCTAATCTTTATGTATTTCTATAAAAATCTGATCAAAACTTAAATAAATGACCTTAAGAAATGTTATCTCATATGTCACCGTTATTAAATGGCTTGCTACCCGTGAGTGTAAAAAACCACCCTGTGTGACCCTCAAGTCTGTAAAGGCATGGCACTTTGGTTTGAATCTCAAGAAAGGTCTCTTTCACCTGAGGCGTGGGACATACAAAGGGCTGGGGTCTCAGACCCAGAACTGCCTCTAACATTTTCTGGTTCTATGTAATCTTCCCAAACCTCGATTCCTCCATCAGACAATGAAGGATGGAAATAGCTAAGCATTTTCCAGCCGTGCCTTCCAAAGGATCCAAACCAAACCAAACTCACTGCCAACAAGTTAATACCGACTCATGAATACCTCTGAAAGTGCTCAGTAGTCAAATTCAATTGGGATCTGCTGCACACAGCACCACCACCCCCAAGAGAGTCACAGTGCACGAGTGTTACTGAGGTTCTCAGAAGTCCCTCAGCACTGCGTTTTGTTCAGTGCATCAAACTTAGTTGGCCTCAGGATCCCTTTATGAACTGACACCTACTAGCATCCTGTAGACTGTGGAAAACACCGACGCTGTGTGTCCTGGGTCTCTTCCATGACTTCCCTGGAGAAATGTGGGAAGAGCGACGCCGGCTTTTGTAGGCAGGTTCTGGAGCTCCAGAGAGGACTGAAGCTCTGTGCTGACAAAGCCCCTGTTCTTGGTTACTGGCTCCTTGCAAAACAATGCAATTCCCTTTGTTCCTAATCAAAGTCCTCATTCAAGGGGAGTGTAAATGGCTGCTACAGAATCTTGGGGGCCACCTAGAATACAGTACGTGGCAGAATGTGCCAAGAATAAGTTATTTGCAACAGCGCTTTACCTTTCCTTTCCGGTGTAGCTTGAATTGTGTCTATGGCAGTGCGGTGTAGAGCAGTGCTGCTCAGCTTCAAGCGGGATCCCGTCCCTTCACCCACTTTCGTGCCCAGAGTGAATTTAACTTCCAGATGGCACTGTCAGGTAGTCCTCCAGTTAAAGAGCTGCTCTTCCAAGAAGACGCCCCCGGGGCCATATTGTTCTTCGTGCAGGTGGATTTCTTCAGGCGACAAGTGGTTTGCTCCAAGGACAAAGTCTGCAAACCTAATGAGTGGAAAACAAAACAAACAAACAAACCCACAAAACTAATAGCGTCACTCCCGAGATACCCGTAACATGTACAAACAAAACAATACAACCCCAAATATGTACGATTTTAGCAAAACCGATCAGGTGCCAGCGTGCATCCTGGGGGGGTCTGCTGATCAGTTTCAGCTGTTCAAGTCAGACGCATGTGTTACAGCACTGGGGCCACCCTCTTAAAGCTGTGGGAGACACTTTTCGGTTTTCGGTGTAGGAAAACCAGGACTGATGAACCTATAGAGCTAGCAAGTGGAATAAGGGTTTGGGGGGTATGAGGACCCAGAGGTGGTGGCTGGGTGAAGGGCTGATGATGTCAAGGGGTCCACATAGAAAAAAAATGTTTGGGAACAGATTGTGGCAGCAAATGTACAATTCTGGTAGACGTGATTGAACTATGGAATGATCTGATATATCTATTAATCCCAATTACTTAAAAAACCTAGCTGTAAGCTATATTGGGATGACAGCATGTACCCTTGGTATTTTATCTCTTTTAATTCGATTTGATTTGAGTCAATAGAGGGTGGCATTTCCACAAAGGGCAGAAAAATGAGACCATTGTCCGTGACCCTCATAAAGAGAGCTATTCAAGAAGAGCCGGGAGGCTCAGGCTGACTTCCGTAGCCAACTGTACCCACTACTGGTCCTACCGCCATCTCTTCCCTATTGGTTAACAGCTTAGGTTGGTTAGTGTTTATTCATTTACTGCCAGTGTTTCCCCCTTTCAGTCTTTCATTTGAGGACCCTATTATTTGGAGGAGTCCTGAGGGTGGAGTTGATTATGCACTGGGTTGTAACCCCAAGGTCAGTCTTTAGAACCCACCAATCGATGTGTGGGAGAGAAATGAAACGTTCCGTTCCTGTGAAAATGTTCAGTCACACAGAACGTTGGCCAGTTCCACTCTGCCTTCCAGGGTCTCTGCAACTTAAAACTGGCTCAATGGAAGGGAGTTGGTTACCGTATATACTAAAGTATAAGCCGAACCGAATATCAGCCAAGGCACCTAATTTTACCACAAAAACTGCATAAAAATGTGCTGAAAAACACAGCTTATACACGAGTATATACAGTATTTGAGTTGAGTTAAGGGAAAGCAACAAAGGAATGTCTTTCTTGGTGGAAAAATTATTTTCCATACCAGTAGAGTGAGAAGCAAGTTATGCAGCCCATGCCACCACCCACCAGCCTTAATGGAAGCCACCTCGATGGACTTCCCTTTAAGACAGAGAGCGGGTCAAGATGTAATCTGACACCAGCTCTCAGGAGGACCCAAGAATAAGAACCACTGACAAATGTCTGCACCCAAGTCATCCATTCCTAACCTGAAACGTCTTTCCAGAGCCACTCTATTATTTCCTGAAGGACTCTTTCCCGAGCGATGGTTCAGGAGACTGAGCTCGGTTTAGGAGCAATGAAAGGCCGGCTTACTTTTTAGGAGCCCGGAGCCTGGAGACAGCCAGCCAGGCAGGGAAGTCTGGCCTGCGGCAGGCTTGGTGCAGTTCTTCCAGGGCAATGGCCGTCTCGGCATCAGTTTGTTCTCGGTACTCTTCGTCAGTCAACAACTGAATCACCGGTTTCTTTGAGGCGAACCAGCTCTTCGTTTTCCTAAACCGTGCAGCATTCAGTTGTTAGATTCCTGGTCATATTTGATGGCTCAGTTCCATCCTTAATGTTCACAGACACGTGTTTCTAAGATAGCAATTAATACTACTTTGACATGGCTTCACTATAATGCAGACCCCAGTACTTTGGGAATGCTATTGTTATCGTGACGGAGGTGTACCCACAAACCAAATTCACTTCCATCGAGGTGGTGACCCCACGGGAAAGATCAGAGCTGCCCTTTGGATTTCTGAAATGGGGAAGCTCTAGGGGCACAGAGAGCCTCTTTCTTTCTCCTGCGGGGTGGCTGGTGGGTTCAAACTATTGACCTAGAGGTTAGCAGCTCAACGAGCAACCCCACTACATCACAGGGCCTCCTTACTGAGGGACACAGAGAACAACAAAACCACACCCCTCAAACTCGCTGCGAGCCAGTCAATTCTACCTCCAGCCAGCGACTCACGGTGACCTCATGCGGTCAGAGTGCAACTGCGCTCTGGATGATCTTCCAAGGCACCTGTGGTGGGCTTGAACTGCCAGACTTGGAGTTAGTGGCCAGTGCTTCACTACTAGAGCCACCCATGGACTCCATATAGGACCTATAGTTTGGGTCTCATAGTACACTTTCCTTTTTCCTGGACTATCCTGATGTCCTACGGCATTTGAATGGACTTTTGGTAGGCTTGTCTATTTCTTCGGTGATTTGCAATCACACAGCTCAAAGTCGAGCTTCTCTATACTTGGCCTGTGGACTTCCAGGCACTAGCAGATGCAAGACTTTGGCGATCTCCTTTTATGGAGAATTAGTCGAAGCCCTCCCCGACTGGAAAGAGGAGGATTTGTGGGATATCACCTCCACCTAGTGGTGATGTGGTTGAGAGCCCGCTCCCAGAGACAGGGAGGCAACATTGAGCGAGGGTGTACACAGACTAATCTTTAAATATCCTTCCATCCTCACGTGCCCAGGGTCTCACGATTGTATTGTCTTTCTTTCCAACTAAGAAAGCCCCAAAGGAAGTGGCACCTGGAAAACAGTAAGAAGGTTGATATTTTTAAAGAAATACTAAGTTATAATTTATCAGTGAGTTTTTCAAGATGGGTTTAGAAGGTTTCATACCCAATCAGAGATCTCCAATCTGAAAGAGCACCAGGATTACCATGAATTTTCTATTTTCAATATATTTTCTGAAGGCCTGGGCCCTTACAAATCTGTATTTTATCTTTTAAACCTTATCTGGTAGTCGATAAGCTGAACTTGGAAGCTGCTGAAGATTAGTTCCTCGTTCATTATGGAATCCCTAGACAGGTTATGCATTGGCCTGCTAGCTGCAAGATCAGCAGTTTGAAAGGATCTGCTGTTCTGAGGGAGAAAGATAAGGTTTTGTACTCGTGTAAAGATCCACTGTCTCAGAAACCCTCCGGGCCAGTTCTCCTCTGTCCTCCAGGGCTGCTGTGACCCAGGATCAACTGGATGGCTGGTGCCATGGGAGAAAAAGACCTGCTGATGTGTACCCATAAAGATGTCAGCCTCGGAAAACCGATGGGGCAGGTCTGCTCTGTGGGCGGCAGGGCTGCTGTGGGTTGGAATTCACTGGATGGCACACAACAACAGAGAGATATGGTTTCCCTAGAGAGGAAAAGCCCTGGCCTTGGACCCAAGACTTGTGCACAAGCCCCGCCTTCAAGGTTGACCCACGTGTGAGCCTGGGCAATGCCTTCCCTTACCAGTCCTGAGGCTCTCTCTGCTCACCTAAAACAAAAAGTGAAAGTAATATCTATGCCGTGGTGTCGTGTGCAGATTACATGTGCTATAAGTGTGAAGTGCTTTGCACATTGAGTGATCAATAAGGACACTCCACCAGCAGCTACAGCTTATTACGATGTATGCAAACAGTTCTCTGCAAATGAGCGAGTACTATGCAAAATCAAGTATCATTTCTCTCCTTTGTTATTTAACCTCTAACGCCCTGTTCCATACCGTAGTTCATATAAATCTTCACTTGCAAAGTGAGAAATTGAGCGAGAGAGCCCACCGTCTGATGAATGCTTTCATGTTAACAGAGGACACAACGCTACAAAGCCCATCTTACTGCCAGTCTGTCCATTCTAACTTACAGTGACCCCATAGGACAGAGGGGGAGAAAGACGGGCTCTCCACTGCTGTAAAGAGGGACAGTCTTGGAACTCACAGGGGCAGTTCTACCCTGTCCTAGAAGGTCACTGTAAGTCGGTATCGACTCGAGGGCAGTGAGTTTGGTTTGGGGGATAGGACAAAGTAGAAGTGCCCCTGTGGGTTTCTGAGGCTGTAAAATTTTACAGGAGCAGACAGCCTCTCCTTTCTCCTACAGAGTGGTTGTTGGGCGCAAACTGCAACCTTGTGGTTTGTACATCACTCACTGCACCACTAGAGGTCCCTCAACAGAGTGTATATAAAGTCTTCTATTTGTGATCACGTTCATGAGAAACCAAACCAAACTCACTGTCATCAATTTGATCAGGACGCTCCGTGACCCTACAAAGGGTTGCTGAGGTTGTGTATCTTTATGGGAGCACACAGCTTCAACCTTCTCCCTCAGAGTCGCTGGTGGGTTTGAACCACTGACCTGGTGGTTAGCAGCCCAGCGCTTACCCAACACCCCCACCAGCATTGGATTGCTTACATAAGATCCAAAGTTCAAAGCCACTAGCACAGTGGTTCTCAGCTTCCTAATGCTGTGACCCTTTAATACAGTTCTTCATGTTGTGGTGACCCCCCAACCATACATTTATTTTCATTGCTATTTCATAACTGTAATTTCGCTACTGCTATGAATCGGGTCACTGTGAATCAGAATCCACTGGATGGCAGTGGGATGGGGTTAATGAGGAAGGCAGACAGATATAGTTCTAGCTTATCATTCTATAGGAAACGGCACTACAACATAATACTTCAAAGATATCTGAATAGTATTAAAGGTATCAGGCCAAGAAGCCTGAGGGGAATAGCTTAGTAGATGAAATGACAAAAATTCCAATTTTATATAGGATAAAACTACCAATCACTAACATTTTTCTTTCCAAATGAAGTTTTATGCAAGTTGTCTATAATGAATACTCACTAGGTACCCATTGCTATTATGTAACTAGCAACCAGAAAAATTAATTTTACTGAATTTACTTTTCTATTGCACTAGTCCTTGCACATTATTACCATTCCCCATATCACAGGCACACAGTGTACGGGTTAGTACGCTTTTGAAAGGTGTGCAGATCACAGAATACATTTTGCCCTTGGCAGGGCCGTTGGGTGGTTAGACTGAAGGAAGAAGAGGGAAACGCAGGACAGGCTTCCTTCTGCTCAAGCCCGTATGACAGCGCTGTGTCAGCTTGGTTGGCCAGGATTCTCAGTGGTTTGGCAGCTGAAGTTTAGTAACCCCCCACCATGTGACCGCACATAATGTAATCGGCTCCAGGAGGGGGTCTGCTGTGAGCAGCTCAACAGTTGTAAGATTAAGGGGGAGTGCAATCGCCTTACTTAAGTCACAGCCCTGATGCACCTGAAAAGAGATCTCCTTGGGAGTGTGGCCCACTTCCTACATAGATACGTCTTAGGCTGCGAGCTCAGGGTCCGAAGTTAGAAACCACCAGCTGCACCAAGGGAGAAAGATGAGGGTTTCCACTCTCATCAACAGTTACAGTCTCAGAAACTCACAGGGGGCAGGTCTACCCTGCCCTAAAGCATCGCTAGGAGTCAGTATCAACTCTATGGCAGTGAGTTTGGTTTGGGGTTTGGGGGAGAGCTTGCTTGCTTTCTGCTGGGTTTGGATCCTGCATCTAGTGTGTTGACCTCCGGTTCTTTGGACTTAAGATAATGGCCTGCCATACTGCCTGCTGCTCCTGGGAGCCACTGTCCATCTGCCATCTGATCTGCTGCAACCTTGGCTTCACTGGCTTCTCCAGTCCCACGCTGACGCGCTGCCCTTGGAGTCACCCAACTCTATGAGCTGTGGTGTCCTGTGACCCTGAGTGCAGCAGGCCCTGAAGCTACACCAGTCAAATGGGCCCCTAGCCTGTCAGCCAATGATTTGCTTGGTATCTGTTTTTGCTTGGAGAATATTTTCCCCTTTTAATTAGCTGAGTTGCCAACATAAAGATGATAAGAACGCACATTCTAATCCACATTTTCTAGACACTTGAGCCCGTCTTCCCATATGGTAAGGTCCATTCGCGCTGAGTCTGGATTGTGGAATTTCCCGGAGTCAAGATCACCTCCATGCCTAGGGGATATGTGGTCACATCTCTCAGCATTTGGGTTAATTCTTGTCTAGGCGGCAGGAGTGCTAACAAAAATGCAAGGTGCTTGACCTCCCGCTGTGTAGTGGATCTGAAAAGATTCTTTAGCCCAGCCTGGCAGGCCCCCCACGCTGGCTCATGTCTACCCACCTCACTGGCTGCATCAACAACAGTGTTTCATGAAGGTAACAAACTGGCCTTTCCCATTGCCTAGCAGGCTTGTACCACATCTATTCACCCAACTGTATCGGTTCATTCTTTTCATTCCAGGCCAGTACTGACTCTTCCAAGATAGCTTGCCTGAACTTTCTCTGGAGTCAATATAGAGAGATTTCTGTTTATGTTCCAACAAAGTACACCTCAAGAACCAGCTCCTTCACCTGTGCACTTGACAATGAAGCCAACGCTCAAACGGAACTACTGAAGAAACAGAACGAACATGTGACAACAGAAATGAGCTCATCTTTCTCTCTGTTGTCTCAAAGGGCTTAGGTCTTCCCTCAAAGCATCAGAGAAAAAAATATCCTAAATATAATTTATGACTCATCTATTATTCATTTCCATGCCTAAATCTTATAAACACAACACCTAACACAAAAAAGCATCCCTGCTTTCCAAAGCAAGGAAATGCAGAATAAAAGTAGCCTTTTTAGGCAACCCAGGGTACAAGTAAGTTAGCCCCCGGCTTAAATAAATCCTAGGTGGGCTGATTACCCAGACACTGGTGGTACACACCTCTGAAGGTCATGACGACTAGACATGGAGGTGGGATCAGAAGCTCTCCCTCGTCCCTCAGAGAAATATCCAGGTAAGACAGTTCATTGTGAGATTACACCTGGCGTGTCTAAAAAACTCCCCAACATAATGAAGGAAACCAGACTTAAAAAAAGGATGCCCACCAGGTCATAGAATGCAGTGCCTTCATCAGGCAGTGCAGCGTTGAGGAGCAGGAGACGAGGATCATCGCTGTGTACGCAAACGCAGGCACGGAGACCCCGCAGTAGATGAGAGCCAGGGAGAGGAGCCGCAGAGCCCCCGCCAGCAGGCTCTGGCTCCTTCCGTCCACAAGAGGCCCGTGCTTGTAACACAGAGCAAAGCTGGAGAACCCAACGATCGAGGCATAGCCTGCAACAGCAGAAGAATACAGAATGGTCTCAACGAGAATTAGAAAAGCTACCTGTAAAACCTGGAGGGCCTGGGCTTAGAGCTAAGGACACATCACAAAACCGAGATTTCATTTCCCCCCAGTGAAACCAGGTTTAAAAAGTAAAGCATGAGCTAGTTTACCACTGCCGTGTGAGAGGTGGGGCTGACGTCGGTCATAATTTAGGATCTGTAGTAGTAATTAGAAATTGCTATTTATAATAAATATAATATACACATATGCATATCTGTTCGGCCCAGGGTCTTATCTGGGCAAATGTTATCTCGATTGCCTTGACTAGGAATAACCCTCTGGCCTTCTTTCTTTTTAACATTTTTTTAGGGGCTCATACAACTGTTATCCCAATCCATACA